TCTTAATATACGAAACCGAAGGCGATAACACCGCACAGGATTCCGCTGAATAAGAACAAAGATTTATCAAGTAAAATTTGTGAAGCGAGATTGACCGAAGGAGCCGGCGTGCTCGTGTTTTCCGTAACTGTAGATGAACCGCTTGATGTGTTACTGCCGCCCGTTGTGGAAGTACTGTTGGTGCTATTGGATCCTGAAGAGCTTGCCGAAGCTGTGGGTGCAGCTGAACCTGAAGCCGAAGCCGAGGCTGAGGCCGAGGCCGAACCGGTGGCCGATGCAGAATTTCCGCTCGCCGAAGCTGACGCGGCAAAAGCTGGAGTAGCCAAGACCATAGCACATATGACTAAAATTGCGAAGGTGAATAGAGTGAAACGCATTTTGGAATTATTGTTGCAGGTTTATCAAACGATTGTTAAGGATCGAAAAAAGAAGGTTTAGATTCCTCTTGATATTGATGTATTGTGGAAATGATGAAGGGATAGAAGAAAAGTCGGTGGGTTTATATCCTGTTCATTTACGTTTCACAACGAACAAGTCTTTCCCTATAATTACGGTCGTGCTCCATTATCGCAGTTTTTACTTCACCGCGCACCTTTGAAGGCTTGGTGCGACCATGCAAAGAATTTTTTTTTTTTAGCAGCCTATCAGGTAGACAATAAGAAATTCTTGTTGTATTTTGTGTAATATTAAGTTTTCGCTTGCATGCGAATTAAAGGTTAATCCGCAAATGAGGCTCTGGTAGTTATGGGAGTGCCGAGACACCCTTTTCGAGCAATCTCGTCCCTTATCATGATCCCACGATTCATAAGATCAAACCTCCGCAGACACATCCTATGTTAAACTTCCTTGTAAAGTTCCCATCAACAAAACTTTTTCGTCAATCGATTATTTTTCATATGGCACTCCGTAGATCAAAATATCTACTCATTGGTTTTCCCATGTATTATGGATGGAGCCATTATTTTTTTTTTCCGAAACAAAGAGCCCAGAGGTCATACATACTCTCACTCTCATTTGACCTATGATAAATAAAGTTGATATTTTTAGAAATTACGTAACTTTATTAGTTGCAGTTATTGACATTACGCTCTAAAACAACCGGATAAATCTTTTTCATGCGACAAAGCATACTATCGTATAGCTACTAATAATTTTTCTGTTCTTAACCTTATCATATACAATCAGTAATATTGTCAAGAGAACTTCACCGGACTGTATAGGTCCACAATCAGTGATATCAATCGTTCGTTAAAATATACATATCCTTATAAGGTATACTGTAAATCGTTACTTCTTGCTTTCTCTTCGAAGAGAGAAAACAAAGTCACCGGGCACGTGACACTGTGCTCGCATATAAAGATGTAAAGAGATTACTATAAAAAAAAAAAAAATCTCATTTGTAAATCAAAAAAGTTTATTATGATTAAACAAATCATGCTTTGTATTACAAAAATTATTTGTTCGACATATTATATTATAACTTTATACTTTAAGTGATACAAAATAAATGGCATCTTTTACATTTTGTTATTTTCTTTTTCTTTTTTTTTTTTTTTGTCTGATTATAAATCAATTTTTAAATTTTATCAAGAATTTCTATTTTAAATTTCGGTTAAAAATAAACGTGTTCAAATATTATTTTTAGAATTGATATGATTAAAATTATATGGGTAATTATTTTTGAAGATAAACCAAAAATTTTTTGGACCTAAAATTGTAACCCCAAAATTATATTTTA